TCGCGGCCGCCCCCACCCCACCCAGCTCCAGAATGAGTTCATCCAGAACGAAGCAAGAACTTCCGGTTTATTCCCATCGTGTTCCCCGGGGCCAAGAAGATTAGTTTGATGGGATTTATGCTCTTTACCTGTGCAGGTAAACACCAGTTTCCTCCCTGACTCTCTGTATGCCCCCCCTCCCCCCACCCCCACCCTCAGCATCACGTCCCAAACTGGCTGCAGAACACGCACGTGTACGAGTGGCCGCTCCACCGGGACGACATCGTGCGGCGGCTGATGAGGGTGGAGAAGTACAACCCCCCTCCCATCGGGGAGCTGCCCACCATCGTCTCCATCCCCATATAGAGCCCCCGCAGGGTGGATGAAACGAACGCACCACGCTTTCTCCAGGAGGGTGAATGGGGAATTACGCGTGCAGGATGTTTTATTGCTTTTTGCGTTTAAAAATGAACGTGATGGTTCTCAATGATTACGTGATCGGTTCCATTCGATGTCTCGTACCTTTTGGATCCATCTATCGTCTGCAGGGGATGCGGTTCCATCTCATAGTCAGACCCTTCAGTGCTGCTGTGAGTGGTGCGTTTACAGGGTCTAGTTTGGTTCTCATCTCCTGTTGGAATATCTCTCAGGGCGTCAGACTTCTCTCCAGTTTGCATCTCACTTGTATATGAATATTTGGGTGTGTTCCACCAGCAAGTTGGAATTTGTTTGTTAGTTCAGTTCTGAAAAATGTGATCACATTCCATTTAGATTCCGTGCGAGTGTGTGAAACCAGGTGTGCCCCGGAGCACACTCCTTCCAGGTAGTCTGTGGAACGTTGCACACAATTATTTTTACTATAATTGGCCTCGTACAAATTCTGTAAATGCCGAGGTTTTTTTATTCCGTCTTTTGGCTTTTTCAATCCGATTTTTACGCTGTTGAAATGCATGGCTTGTTCCCTGAGTAGTATCTGTACTGAGAGTACTTTCAAATGTCAGATATAATACATCAGGGTAGAGATATTATGCTCGTGTCTGTTGTGAGGAACAAGTTGGGCCGGATCTCCTTTGAGGTGTTATTCTTTTGTGACTTGTGTTTAATAGCCTAATAAAACATTATGCTGTGAAGATTCCAAATGAATAACAATGTATTTAGTTAATGTAGTTCTTATTGGGGGGAACCTTTCATCTGGAATAGGGTTGCATAAATAATTAGTGCCTTTTTAAAGTGTTGACGGGACATGAAGGTTCTCCGATGAGAGAATTGTATTATGTGATACTGGTCCATCCTGTAAAAACAAAGAAATCTTATTACAGTCGATCAAATGCAAACAGCTGGAATTAATACAGTGCCTTATATTTTATTTGTTTTTGTGACATTAACATGATGGCAGAATCTTAAGTTTGTATTAAAATCTATTTTCTGTTCTTGTACATTACTTTCATGTGTTTTTTCATCAAGAGTTAAGATAAGATAATTGAATCTGTAGAACTGCATGAAACCTTTTATTTTGGAAGAGGAAGCCTCGTGTAAAACTGCAGAAACAAAATGTAAAATTGGCTCAAAGTTACAGATGATTGTCAACAGGCAAAGTAGTAAAAATAAAGCGTTTCTCTCTTCCAGTAATGGAACAATAAGATAATTCTTTTCTTTAAATCACTACAGACGACTTGTTCCGGTCTCTTCGCCTTCGGGCCTTTTTTGTGCGTGAGAGAAGCTGCTGACTCGGCCGCATCTCAACGACCAAACTGGGTCATCGTCTCCGACAAAAGAACAAAGAAGAAATGACACGTGACCACTGACACAGTTTAGGAAGAAACTGCTGCGTGAGCAGAAAAGGAGACGGCGATTTAAGAAGCACGGAGACGCAGTTTATAGGTTCTTTTTTATCTTCACAAGAGGCAACACTGCCGATGTTATACAGACATCATTAAAAAAAAAAATCTGAATACAGTGTCTCGTATATCCCTCCGTATAAGTACAAGTAATATTAATAACAAAATGGTAATGGCATCTGTAATAAAAGTGATTACAAAGTGACATTATGTAAATAACTCTTAAGAATTAAGTAACAAATCTGACAATAGTTCCATTTAACTGTATGTAAAAACATTGAAGTGCTATTTGTTCAAAGCTACACTTAAAAAAAGCAGGAAGAGTCTTTTTTAAATTTCCTTCAAGGAAAAGTACTATAAAATAAGTTACAGTACAGTGAATTTGTCCAAAGCTACTTTTGTTCCCGTCTTCCAGCTTTTTGTAAGCACAAGCAACTGATGACTGAAGATGTGTTTCCTCGTCAGAGGCGTGACCCAAAAAAAGTTTAGTGTGTTGGTGTTTGTAAGAAAAACCCTTCTAATCTTCACCCTCATCTTTGTGCCACCGAGTAGAAAAAAACTAAAAACAAGTATTTGTACTTCATGAGCTCACGTTGTCTGATAAATACTTCATGTTTCCTGACGCCTCATACGTCGTCAGCTGGCAAAGGAGGTATGTTGAACCTTGGTCTCGTGAAAAAAGCCATCTTCTCTCTGCAGAACGAAGCAAAACAACACATTTCAAAATAAAAGCATGTCTACAGAATAAGAGTTGGTCGTGGATCAGCAGTGGATTCAAGGAAGGACTGTTGGACTCTCGGTGTACTGCTGCCAATAGTCAACTTATGTTAATGCCTCCGTTATCTTCCACTCATCTGAGGCCTGAGGCATCCGGCTGAGCGAGAAAGACGTTTCCCAGCTGCGAGACGCTGCCTCGCTGGGCCGATCCCACAGAGACGTGTTGCGACAGGAACGCCGTTAGAATATGAGACAACACATTCTTCTCATTTATATATATATATATATATATATATATATATATATATATATATATTATATATTATATATATATATAGCACATAGATGTACTCGGCCCTTCTGGTTAGATGCTAAACTGGATTTCATTGTTTCAGGACCTGAACTCTGTGCAATGACAATAAAGTTGAATATAATCTAATTTCTTTGTACAGAATTTAAAATAAGTACAATATATAAAGATCAATCCATCTCACGAGCCCCCACCTGAATGTCTGCACAGGGAGGGGCTCCTTGTGGCTCTGCCCCCTCATCTGCAGCACCTCTTTGGAGGCCTTCCTCAGCCTCCGCTCGGCCGCCTCCTCCTGCCGCTGCTCCTGCTCGCTTTGATTGGCCTGCAGCACAAGCACAACAAATCGGGTCAGCCTCTCGCCGCGGCCCTGCCCCTTCCCGCCCCCGGCTCCGCCCCCCCCCCCTCTGGTCTCACCTGTCTCTGGGCCTCTCGGAGCAGGCAGCGGAAGCGCTCGTCCCTCAGGGCCCAGTGGGGGAGCTCGGCGGGCTCCTCCAGCCGGAGCTTCAGCTCCCTCAGCGCGCTCAGCTCCTCCGTCAGCTGCCTCTGACGCGTCCGGCAGGCCTGGAGGTCCAGCTCCAGGTCCAGGGAGGTGCGCGTGGG